CAATCTTTAGCTTGAGAGGATGAGATTTTTGAAAGAATATAAAGTCCTGTCTAGTTAGGGAAAGGGAATGGCATTTGAGATCAAGTTGAGTAGTAACACTGATATGACTATAAGATAATATGCTTGACTTTCTTAAGTAGTTTACCAATTCTTCTAAAGGCAATTTCAAAAGGCCCTCCACAATGTTTTAATTGTAGTATTGTTAAAATAAATATCTAGTTTTCCAAGTTAGTAGGCACATATTCACATAATTGTTCCCTACATGTAGATGAGTGAGAGTCACTCCATCTTTTTCACAAAATGTTTTATGCTTCATTTTAAGCATTGTGGAACATAAGCTATTGAAAATTGACTCAGAGTAAAATATCAACAAATATTCCTTTAAATTATAGATTTTTAAAGCTAAAAGGGATTTGTATGATTTTATAGTACTAACGTCTGCATTTTCCAGAGGAAACTAATTCTCTGAAAGGCGTGGTGATTGCCAACATGACTTAGCAAATTAGTGGCAGAGCCAGGAATGAAGCCCAAGACTTGCCTTTCATCTGGAATTTATTTTTTCATGATACTGCTATCATTATCTATGGTTAAGAACAATACCAGAGGAAAGAAAGAGTTTTACTCTTTCAAAGAAATGTAGTAATTACTTTCTGATCTAGTGTTTGGTATTTATTATTCACCCATCAACTAAGAAAAATATATACTATAAGGTGGGATCTAATATACCACAAGCTATACATAAATTCTTTAGTTGGTAAATTGTCAATTTAAATTTCTTTGAACTATTCTTGGAGTTGTAACATCCAATGCTACTGAAATAAGCTGTAACAAATCTAAATGGAATCAAAATTAAAGCAAACACATGCATACATAATAATTCACTTATCCAAATCAATATAAAAAATAGTCCTGATTTCTGGGAATTTGACTTGAAAATAATAGACCATACACACTACTTGAACAGCTCATAAAATTTCAATTCAGATCACTCACAAGAAGTCAAAATGCCCAATGAATAACAGATGTTTCTTAGAAAAAGATTGGTGAATGTATTTTTGGAATGATATTAGAGATAAGCATCTTTTACAACCATTTTTGATTAGATGAATAGCTTCATTCACAAAAACACACAACAGAAAATTCACAGAAGAAGATTACTATGCTTTAAAGAGATGTATTTCAGGTGCATTTATATATGTGGGTTTGCTTATCAAATGTATATATGAAGTTTTCTACCTTTATAATTGAATAACTAAGGCATTACGCCAGAACATATCGCTTATTTTCCACAATGATGATGAAGCTAAATAATTAGAATTAAAACTTTGGAGAACTTCACTTGGCATTCTTTAATTTTACATAACTTTGTTTATAACATGTTTGATTTTAGTTTTATCAAACAAAAAAAAGTAAAACAGTTTCAATTTAAAATGTATACTGTTCTCTTCTTTAATTTCTCTAAATTGTTTATAGGTTGGCGGTTTAATGAGGGAATAAATTTTTCAAGACAAATGTGATTTTTAAAAACATTTGAGAGAGATTCGAGGTAAAATAAATCTATAGTGAAATATAGCTGAGGTACACTAGACTGCTATTATGTACCAGTATGAAAACAAATGGATGAAGAGAATCACAAAATATGAATATTTATGTAAAACTGGAAGTGCTATAGAAAACTCTAAATAGCTATGAGATCGATTAATTTTAAAGTGCACTTAGCTAAGAAATATTTGGAGGAAAATATTTTGTATGAATCATTTTATCAAATAGTAAAGCTTATATTTCTGAACATACAATAGACTGAAAAATCTGATGACAATGAAATAAAGTGAAAAATATATTTGAAAAAATGTTAAAAGTACCCTACTTATCCTATACAAATTATTACTTATAATAGAATTTAACATAAGTATGACGACATATTTTTACAGCTTGAGAGTTAGGTATTATTACTCAACACTGGGAAATACACCTTTACTTTTTCTTGAAAGGAGACATTTAAAGTTCTTTATTTACACTTCTTGAGTTTTCCTCAGTTCCAATTAATTTATCCAAGTCGTATTTGCATTATTTTCTTTAACAGGCATGATTCCATTCAACTTTGTGCAAGTCTCAGCTTTCATTTCACCAAATGAATCCACTCCTTCCACAGTTTTAGTTTCAAAAAGGTTTTCAGCTAAAACACAATTTGAATTATTAGCCAATATATTGCCTCTTTCAGTTTCAACTAGGTCATTATTTTTTTCATCTGTATCTACAGGATCATAAAGTTCAGGTGTAAAATAGATAGATTCATCTTCTTCAGTTTCAAAAGCTCTATTTGGAGTGGAATCATTAGCTTCTTCACTTACTAGAGACAATTCAATGTCTGGATCCAGGGTTTCTTCACTGCAGAGTGGATGTTTGGAATTCTTATTTTTAGTAAGAGTAGCATCAACTTTTATTGGTGAAATAATGGTTTCTGATTGAGAGCGTGACCCAAATGATGTGTTTAGTGTCAAGTTTGAGGATTCACATTTATCACTGAATGGCAAAACACTTTTACTTTCTATCCTTTCTGTTTTGAAACTGAAAGGAATAGAAGCACAATTCTCTGATGACTTGAGCTCAGGTGCTGCACTCAGTATTTTAAAGCTACACCAGTTGACTCTGTTTGTTTGTTTGCTGAAAGTTGGGCTTGTGGATCTGGAAATCACAATTTTTTCTGTGTTCATTGCTTGGGTAGTTTCTTCCAAGAATGTTGGCTCACCTAAGAATACAGAAATTTAAGAGCTTTAACTTTCTGCTTGTTATTAATATAACTGTCAGATTAAAATACTTATTAGAAATAATTTAATAGTTCTATAGGACACATAACTTAGATCCTGTAACCAAGTAGTTGTGAACTTTATGTTACAACTTAAAGAAGTTCATGCTTCCAAAAAGGCTTATTGTGGCTCAGTGTCCGTAGCACAGTGATTACGGCAGCAGCCACATACACCAAAGTTAGCAGGTTGGAACCCAGCCCGGGTCAGCTAAAACAACAATGACAACTGCAACAAAAAAATAGCCAGACGTTGTGGTGGACGCCTGTAGTCCCATCTACTTGGTAGGCTGAGGCAAGAGAATTGCTTAAGCCCAAGAGTTTGAGGTTGCTGTGAGCTGTGACACTATAGGACTCTACAAAGGGCAACATAGTGGGCCTCTGTCTCAAAAAAAAAAAAAAAAGGCTTACTGGGAAAAAAAAAGTTAAGAAGAGGAAGAGGGCTGAATAAAGGAGGGAATTGGGCTATGAAAATTTGCCTTAAAATTTTGAGAAAAAAAGACTTAGACTAATTCTCTTATTTAATAAATTAAAAAACTCACAACTACAAGGCTAAATTATTTACTCAAAGTTATAAAACTGGTTATTAAGATCAGGACTACACAGCTCCAGCACCTATAGCCCAGCAGCCAGGGCACCAGCCACATACACCAGAACTGATGAGTTTGAACACAGCCCAGGCCTGCCAAAACAACAATGACAATTACAACAACAAAAAAAACAGCCGGGCGTTATGGTGGGCACCTGTCATCTCAGCTACTTGGGAGGGTGAGACAAGAGAATCACTTAAGCCCAAGAGTTTGAAGTTGCTGTGAGTTGTACGAGGGCAACACAGTAAGACTCTATCTCAAAAAAA